TTTAATGAAAATCTTTATTTTTTTAGAAATATTGTAATTATAATAATCTTACCGTGCACTTAACGTGCCTTGTTCTATTTAATATTTGATTGGTTTCACTTACTTTTTTCAGACAAATATGAATAAATCCATATCTATAATGTTCACAAATGCCAATAAATTGGAAAATACTCAATAATATACAACATGTTGTTATAATAATAATAATTTTAATGGAAGTGTAAAATCATTCCGTTATTGTTTACGTTAAAAAAAAAAATTAAAAAAAATGAAGTGATTCCTGGAGAAAAAGCTTCATGAGAAGATGTTAGAAAAATATTCTCACAAGGTCGACTTACTGTAACGTGTCCTCAGGAAAGCGGTAGCTAATCTCAGGATTGATATTTTGTCCATTCTCCTTGAGCTTCCAGCAACGCTCGGCACAAGGGTCGCCATCGTCGATATATTTGCGTTGAGATTGTCGCGGCGTTGCTTTTCCGCCATGTTTCGCGACGCACGTGGATTGCTGTAACAAAGAATAAAAACAAGCGAAATTTAGTAACGCTCAAAAATCATTAACATACAAAGGAGAATAAAATAAATTATTCTGTATACCTTTCTATTTATAGAAATATATTTTTGTATGCTAATGATGTAAGACTTACACTGTAAGTGACGTACTTTGAATTTACATTTTCATAAATTATACAATAAATTTATCGTATAAATTCTTATTCGTCCATTTTCAACTAGAATTCCAATTAATCCAACCACTGGACATTCTTCTGAACAATGCTTTTGTAATAATTGCTTAAATCTAAATACAAGAAACATAAATTTTATTCTCAAAACATAATAGATATAAAAAGAAATGTACATTTATATATAAACAACCGATATTAGTTAAATACTGTAATTTTTTGTCTCCATAATTCATCCTCTCAGTATCGTAAAATGTATATTTGTATCTCTCGCAGAAGTCGTAATATCTTTATTATCGTGCAACTTTCAGTATACAGTAAAGTAGTATGCCATCATGCAACCATGCACAAAAATAAGGCCATGGCACAACTATGATATATGATAGTGTTATTATTAATATGTGTACAATGTGTATTTTAGTAAACAGTGGCGTATATATCTTACACGTGTGTATAT